CAGTATGAGTTTGAATAAAGAGACAGTGAGACAGCAGTCACAGCTGAATGTTTAATCTATTTTATTCATTAAAGTGGGTTTATGGATGTCAAGACAGTAGTCCCTCCCCTTTAAGGGCGCTCCAGCTTGTTCACTTTTTAGTTGATTTTGTGCACCTGCTCCCTCTTCCAGCCCACCTTTAAAAGTCAGACGCTCACTCTGCATTGGAATACGGACGCCCGGAAGCTCGCCAATCACCTATGTCTGCGGCTCGGGTGGCATTCACCTCCTAGGTGTCCTGAACCAGCTGAGCCCAAGCCCGAGCCCGGGACCTGGAGCGCCTGGTTCCGTTCCCCCGACCCTTCGCCCGGATCCCGTTCCGGTTTTTAACTTTGTCATGTCTGTCTACAACCCCTCGCCAGATTCCGCTCCGGCTTTTAACTTTGTTTTGTTCGTCTTGGATTTATCACCCGGCTCTGGACCTTCGCCTGCACTGGACTTCCCTTTGGACTCCCTTTTGGACTGTTCGTCTGGACCACGCCCCCTGGAGCACCTTCGTCACGCCCCCCCGGTTCCTCTACCAGCCCAGTTCCTCGTCTCCCCGCTGTGCATGTTCAATCCCTTCCGGACTGTCTCGTCTGCATAGGGTCCTGAAAGACGCTGCGTAACAATGGAGTTTTACTTGTTGACCTAATTTGACTGTAGCTGCAGTTGTAAGTAAAATGGGATACAATCCAGGAACTGGAATCACAGCTCTTAAGCTATAAAATCTATCTTCAGCCCCAGAAGCAGCATGCACTGTTGTTTTCTGAAGATACTCATCATCTGGCCTGACACTCAGATTGGTTGTGTGCTGCTCTTGCTACATATGAATGTTTGCAATGCTGCCAGCAGACCAGTGACTGTCCATACTGCTTATGTACTGTATAGAACAAAATAAAGACCTCTAATATCTCTTACCATGAGGCCCGGAACCTTAACCATGATGACTATCACTTTTAATAATATGTTACATTTCTACATAGTGCTTTTCATCCCAATGCTACTCAAAGCACTTTAATAAAGAACAGAACACCCATTTGGGTGATACACAGCTGCCTTGATGCACCAGCAAACCACAATACACAGCAGATTATGTAAGGAAGTGAAAATTAAAATGAATGAACCCCCCACAGCATCCACAGTCACCCTCCTGGAAATACCTGTCCACATGGAAAAGTGACACCCAACTGTCTACAAGCACTACTACACCTTGTTGATAGTTTTATGTGTTGGGATATACAGTAGGGAGGCACAGAGGAGCTCTGGAATCCTGGATTTTATTCCCTTCTGTGTGGAGTTTGAATGGTCTCTAGCAACTCCACTTTTATTGCATCTCCAAAGACATGCTGGCTTTGGTTGATAGGCTTTTCTAACTTGTCTATTCTAAATCCTCATGGACCAACAATGAACTGACAACCCATCCTGTGTAACAGCAAGGCATGTACTCTCACCAGCACAAGTGGCTTTCTGATAAATGGATAGATGTTTGGCATGGTTCCCTGACTTCAAACACTGCCAAATGCCTGATTAACTCTTGATGCTTTTGGCGAAGTGCATTTAGGGTTGTACATTTCAAATGGAGTTTTTTTTAACCAGTTGCTTTGTTAACACCTATGAACTATCTGACCTTTGATGACACACTTACTAATAGTATTTTGTTATTTAAATTCTCTAATCCTAATATTTTATCTAATAATCCTAAGATTTTTAGATCAAGAATCCAGACTGAGGTGGTATAAGAAAAACACAACATTGTCTCTGCTGTATGACATATTCACTATGTATTTTATATAAAGCTCCAAAAATTCAAAATTGACTTTTACAGCAAACATTTCACTGCTGAAATGGTAGCAATCTTATTTAAGCGTATTTTATATACAGTATCTGTTACAAATAACTCAGTGGAGTCTTTGCCGTGCCTTGGAGTATACTAAGCAGACTACTAAGCAGACTATGAGAACAAACATAGCAATGCTCTGGTCAAGAGCAAGCTTTTCACATTTTTGATGATGTTCTTGGTGTTGTTTTTTTCATTCTCACAAGCTTCAGCAATTCTGAAATGGAAATGTGATGGGATAAGGAAGCCTAGGGCCTTGATACAAGTAATTTCCATAAAATAATTCAAATTTGTAGATAACAACAACCTGCCTATAAATCCCATGTCTCCAAAAGGTCCCAGTTAAAAAAAAGTTATTTCCATTTACAAACTATTTTGCCCAAAACAAAGTTATGTAACAGTCCCAGTATAAACCTTTTTAATTTGTAATGCAAATCTTGTTTCTATCTTAGCACAGCAATGTTAATGACCTGTTTGTCAACAATACAGCTATAGATGTCAGAAAAAAGCTTTTCTCCTGCCTCCAAAAAGAACTAATACAAATGGAAAAAATAAAACTATGTCCACATTATATTAATCAAAATTAAATATATGTGACCACAGAAAACGAAGAAAACAATTTAGGGCCCCCAGTTGTACAAGGCAGGTGAAATTTCATCAAAAGAAAAATAATACAGTTGAGCGCTATGTCGCAGCTTAACATAGATAACCTAGCAAATGGTTCACTCCTGGGGTTTGTGACCTTTTCTCAACCAATCACTGGCAAGGTTTTGCTCAGTGAAGTTCCTGTGCCACTTGAACCGTCCTTTTCCTTCAGTAATCCTTCAGATTCAGCAATGACACAGTAAGGGCTCATCTGATGCAGAATAAACAAAGCCAGATCATGAAAAGCAGCAATAATGACAGAACAGTTAACGTGCTAATCAGCTGGTGTGGTTATTTTTACAATAAGAGAGGTTTGAGAAATAAAACCCCCTTCTGTGAAAGCAGGAAATTAATTTGTTAATTTATTATTGAATTACATAAATATTCTCATTTACTCATTAGCTTACTTAGATTCCAAGGCTGGAGTTAATGTCATAAGCCAAAGATGTCTTAATTCTTAAATTTCAATGCCAAACCTTGTTAAGAACACAGAGACACAATTACTCAAACGACCAATACAATCTTAGTATTTTTATTATTTGTATTAAACAATGCTTGGTGGACACAAGTTATACAATGGATGATAAAGGTAAATTACATCAATTAAAAAGATCATGGTGAAGATTATATCTAACTTCTGTTCTTTTTATTCACTGGTATGGCCAAAATGAGAAAATGTGACATACTGTAGCTGGTTGAAGATCAGGAGCTGACGCTGAGGAGCAGTATACTAATAATGTACAGTAAATCATTCCAACGCCTGTCACTGCGCATGCAGCGGACAGTGCAATTAGCACAATTATTCTTCTGCCGATAGCTCAGCACTTATGTGACGGGCGCAAATGAGAAGTTCTTTTCCCACATTAAAAAAAAAATCTTCTCATCGTGAAAAAGAGGAAGTTGTTAACAACCACAGATCGACAAATTTACCAGGAGACCTGTGGAAGGCCGTCTCTATTGATGAACGATTTTACCTTTTCCCAAAAAGTGGTAATTTTTTTTACATATTTAAAACTGAATTTGTTTTTTAAAATATAACTGAAAGAGAAAATTAAACTACACAAGTAAAATTATACAAAATCTCCATGAGCTTGGTAAACATCGTATCGTACATCGTATTTTAAACAATTTGATCAGGAATAAGCATTGCTAAGTGTACATTTTTTTCCCTAAAACACAGCTTCAATTTATCTGGAAAAAAAACATAATCATCATTAACCCTTGAATTCCCTTGAATTATGCTCTGCTTTCATTTTTAAGTTTTGTGATGTACTGTGTATTATAAAGCCTATTATAAAGAGGTATTGCTTTTTTGGTTTTAAACTGTTCAATATTGTGGTAATCTTCCTTTGAACCATTTATTGTACAGTCAATTCTGTGTTAGCTCCACGAAATGTTTTACTCAGCAGCCCATTTTTTAAGTAACCTATACGACTTCAATCATACAGGAGAAGTGGGGAGTTTTAAAATGTGCTTCGTTTTTGTTAGGTGTTATAAAATATACTTCCCTCCTGGTTTGTAGTTGTTAAGCACAAGAAAAGATCGTAACTTTATCAAATGCCGTTCTATTTCGTTTTTCTGAAGTTTGTCAGCAGACTCTTTGATAAGGCTGCTTACGTACGTTTCCACAGCGTAAAAAGTATTGAGGACTGAATAACTGAGGAGTGAATGAATGCCTGTTCCCCAAAATACTAATGTGAATATCCAGAAGATTATAGTGATCCTGCATTGCACACTACTATAAACCTTTACCTGTAAAACTGTACAGTGAAACCTTTCTCCAATGAAATTCTTGTATTTCTTAGTTTACTATCAAACTGAAAATAAAGTATAGGACTGTACTTTGCGCCGTTTCTCACCTTAACCTTAACACCTTACCCAGCAGCACACAATAATACAAGCTGCCGAACAACAGAGTAAAACACATTTCAGTAAGGTCATAAGAATGATATTACAGTTTCTCGAAAACACATCCAACTTGAAAAGTCCTAAACCTCACAGCCTCAGTAAGTACTTGAACTACTATACATTGGCGCTAAAATGTAAAGATGAGGAACATACACATATTTTAATACATGTCAAATGATTTTTGTCATTCACGTATAGTAACGATTAACGACTGTATAGTAAGCTATTGGAAGGTATAAAGATCCGGATTTATATTTAAAAAATACTTTGGATTTAACACATTATACCATTAGAACATATAACAACTTTCAATTTTTGCCAGGTTTAAAAAACAGGGATGTATCTGACAAGCTACAACCTATATTGTGTACTGTATTTTTGTATTGTATTCGAAATCCAAGATGAAATCATTCAGTATCGCACTTAAACGGGGACTGGTGTGACTGTATTTTAGTGCACGAAATACAGCACTGGAAATCAAATGTGTTTTTCGTCTGCATGAGGCAATGCCTATAAGACAGCATATACAAAGATCCTTTCTGGGACTCGCAAGACGGTTACCACTGTAAATTATATCATTTCCCCTTACCTCCACACTGAACGGCTGCTCCTCTCCGCAAACGGCACATAAAATCCACAGCATGAATTGCAAGCAAAACGCCCCTGGATATATACAATTCAAGCGTCTTCTATTACGGAATGTTAAACAAATCATAATGACCCGTGTTAATGTAAAATAAAAAAGAACAATAAACAAAGAGAAACGAAGTAAATCCCCGTGTTTCAGAAGGACAAAAACATTGGCCGAGGGATATAGCTTCCCGGATGATCAAATTCGTCGACAGAAAACATCCAGTGGAGAAGAGCAGATGCTTTTTTTTTTTGTCCGTTGACTGTTTTGTTTCAGCCGTTGCAGATTTGATGCTGTGATCAGTCACATTTAGCTTCCTTCACTCAGCAGAATAGCTGGTCATTTTCAACCAGTGCTCTAGCTACAGCGCCTGCGCTTTCCTGAACCCCCAGCAGAGCCGCATATGATAACACTCCCTTTCTGGACTGCGCTGCGCTCGGCGTCATGGAATCTGGGATCGTACGCCAACCTATATAGGTCCGGGAGAGGGGGAAATCGAACAGTCTTCAGACATGCATTGTATCAGCAAAATACAATAGAACTCCTGACATCATCATCACAAATATAGGTTAGGTGCCTGATTTTTAATTATTATTATAATGATGATTTATTAAAATAACCTTAAGCCTATCTACTCTACATGTATGCTTTCTACATGTTTGACGGTAGCTATGTGTACAATAGAGGTATACACAGTATGTATGTGCAGACATTGATTTGTCATTTTGCTAGGACATTATGGTTATAGTCATAGTATCTATGGTTCTTTCAGTGTATCTTATTTATTTGACGTTAAAGACTAGTGTGTTATATAGGAGTGTCAATACATATAACGCATAATATATTATTACATATTAATATGAGACAACATTAGTATCATGTATTCAATGTAATACATATTAATGGTAGACAATGTTTATGATAATGTGATAATGTGACAAAGGAGCCTGTAACGTTTCGTTTCCTTTCCTTTTTCGCGTGCATGTAAGATTACCTGAGATTTCGTGTGCACCCAACATTAAATTAGATTATACTAGAGCCTTCTGGTAAATACAGTAGACCAGTCATTGACAGCAAATACTTATCCTAGGTTTTTATTGTTAACGGACTGACTCAACAAAGCCACAGCTCATGCTGTTCGAAGTCGAAGACCAAACTAGAATTTGCAGACAAAGCCCACTAGAGGGCAGTGACTATCAATGTCATTGTTGCTAAACCAGTGTTATTAGTAGAGCGGCCACTCGATAATCAATGGCTATTTCTAAGCCTAATACGTAAGAATACACGTTGAATGGAACTGTTAAAAATAAAATATGAAATTAACCTAAGAGGATTTTACTTTTTTGTGTGATTCCATTGATTTATCCAATCCTTTCCATACAGAACACAAACCTGAAAACACAATGAATAATCAGGCATACCTGCAATATTACACCCATTATCCGAAAACACAATGTTTGATGAGTGAATTTGCTTTTAATATTTTTTGTTTTTTATATCTATACAATACTTTATTTTAACTGTACTTGACATTCATTCATTCTAGCGATTGGCAGTGGAAATATAAATATCACTGAAAAACAAATATCAGATTATGTGATCCACTAGTAATGTCTGGAAATCTGCAGATATCTATAGAGAGATTTAAAAATAGGCATCGAGCTTTCAAAATGACATGGCTTGTAAATATCAGACAACTCCCTCCTCCATGACATTAAGGAAAGGAGAATATGTCTCCTTGAGTGATGTCTGATATCTAACGTAATGTAGCGGATCTCTCCTGGTTTCCCCTTGCACAAGCAGCAGGATAGTAAGAGAGGCAGGAGACGGTAACTGCATCTCAACTAGTTTTATTGCCCTTTTCAGGTACATGGACGTGCTAGTAACTGAAGGAGGAGAGGCAGATAGGAAAAAAAGGGGACAGAGACTAAACGACTGCTACTGCTCAGCTGGGGGGTTTGGCTCAATAGAGAGAAAGGGAAACGCCCCGTATGTACTGAGGAGCGGAGAGGGGAAACGAGTCTGCAAATAGAAAGGAAAGAGGTCAGTGTTCAGAGTCTCCCAGACAGACCGCTTTCGGGGGCGGGATGCCACAATAATACAGTACGTAACCACTGCATAAAATGCGCAGGATAGTAACTCGTATTCTGGCTTCTAATGAGGGTGAAAAATTTATTCTGATTAAAGAGGAAAATGTGTTCCACAAGACCTGAACGCAATGAAGAGGAACATCACATGCCCCCCAAATCACAATGTAATTTTAAGAATATTCCTGGGTTCGATTAAATTCTACATTTTGAAATAGAAGGTAGGCATTTTTAAACATGTTTAAAACTATAGCTGCTAACATGTTCCTGTCTCCAAGAGTTGTCTACTATATGTCAATGTTATATTATCTTTTATGTCGTGTTATGTCATTTGTCTTGTACTCAGTACATATGACAATAAAATCGAATTTGAACTTGATTTTTGTTTTGAAATGTGTATTAAATTCAATAATTAAAACCATCAAACCATTACCCAGTTAATAGGAGTTCTTACCTTCTTTTGAAATTCCCAGCAATGGTATACAATTAGATGTAATTCTTTTTGTCACATGTTTTTTTGAGGAATGTATCTTGCAAGTGTACAGTTCACCCACAATGGTCAATATTCCTCTCAGGATTTTACCTTACATGAAGGTGTTCATACTGTTCATACAGCATATGAGTCAGCATAATGGTCAGCTCTTTAAAGGCTTCAGCTCATGAATCCCAAACTTAAAAACCTTCAAAGTATCTTATCTGAGTTTTTTTCAGCTTTTGAAGTCTTGTCAATTAGTCTGCACCAACTAATTTTTGAGAGTGATCAGAAAACCTCAACCTATTGAATTGTATTAAATCCAGACACAGTGTGAAAAATATAATTTATTAAGCCCAAAGTCTTTTTATGGACAATCTGGTTCTCAACATGTTGCAACTCTGCTCAGGATACTGAGCACAGGGCATGTCTTTGACTGGTGGTTGTCTGAATAACCGATGGGTTTGCTTAACTGAGTGTCTCTGCTCTGGAAGAGTACTGTAATGTCAAATCATGGACTTGTGCGTCTCTTTAACTCTAAAAAAAATGTGTTAAAGAAATTACATTTAGCAGGACACAACAAAGATAAAGAGACATTAAATCAAGTTCCCTTGTCCTCTTCCATAAATATGAGGAACATCTGTTACGGAGAGCATGTAACTACCAGGAAACGAGCACTTTCTTAAGGACATATACTGTATAGCAGGCCATTAACACAGAAAATATCTGCCAATAGAGAATAATAATAATGACCTGTATTCATTAAATGCCTTTTCCAACCCAAAGACGCTGTACACGTAGATAAAGAAAAAGACAAAAAAGGACAATAAAAGTAAAGGAAAAATCAACAAGAACATAAAAGTTATAATGAAGGGCAATCACAAAAAGGTGAGCTTTGATTTTAAAAGAGAGTTCAAGAGAGTCAAGAGTCAGAGGGGCAGTTACAAAAAAAAACACAGACACCAGAAGTCTGAGATTTAGTCCTGGGTACAATGAGCAAAGCACCACCTTCAACTGAATGGAGCTTCCAAGAGGGAGTTTAAACAAGGAGGGCTTCAGAGGTGTACAGTATGATGGAACTAGATTGCTTGGAGCCGTACAAGTCAATAATAAAATCTTATATTGGACGTGTGACTTTATAGGTAACCAATGAAGACACTTAAGTGAAGGAGTGATATGCTACAAAGCTCTAGTGTGAGTTATTCTAGCTGCAGGGTTTTGGAAATATTGGGCAACTTGTTGAGAAGACTGTTAGAATAGCAAAATCAAGCCTTGATGTTATACTGTAAATGCATGAGTCAAGCACTCAGCATCGGACATTGATGGAAATTTCCTAATGCGGGCAATTTTTCTAAGGTGAAAAAAAGATGTATTAATCACATTTTTTACATGGGGTTAAAAAAACAGGAGAGGATCAAGTGTGACTCCCATATTCCTGACAACAGCTGATGCCTGAATGAGGAAGCCATCCACCATGATAGTGAAATTCTCCAACATCCAGCTAATATTTGCTGCCCACCAGTAAATTTCTGTTTGGTTACTATTTAGCGTCACAAAAATTAATGTAAACCACAGCTTGATGTCTCACAAACAGGAGATAAGTGAATAAGTGATGGAGGCAGGAGATCGAGGGGGAAGAGATTTTAACGTAAATCTGACGATCATCTGCTTAACATCTGAAAACAATGTTTGCATGTTAACTTACCAAGAAGAGCAATATAAATAATAAAAACCAACAGGCCCAAGACTGAACGATGTGACACAATGTGATTAAATGGATCATGGGAGAATTATGAGGACCAAGGGAAAATGCTGCCTGTAGATCAAATGTGAGCAGAACCAGTTAAAGACAGTACCATTTATAGAGAAGAATGTTTACAACCGATTGAGCAACACTGAATGATTTACTGTATCAAAAAACTGCACTAAGGTAAAGGATACTCATAGCCCCCAAATTAGACACAAAAAGAAAATCATTCACAACCCTGACAAGTTCCAGTGCTATGATTGGAGTGAAAACTGGGCTTGAAAGGTTCAAACAGATCATTAGTTATCATTTGAACCTGTAATTGATGTGCTACATAGGAATAGTAAATTAGAAATTTGTCTGTAGTTCATTATTATATCAGACTACAAGCCAGGCCTTTTGGTATAGGAGTGATTGATGCAGGTTCTTTAAAGAAATAGGGACCACACCCTTGGAAAGGGAACTGTTGATGATGTTGACAATTAATGGGAAGATGTCTGGCAGGTAAGCTCTCAGTAAAGAGGCAATAAGTTGTTTAGCAGCTGTTAATGATTTATTAAGTTGATCTGCATTAACTAAACTAAATTCAGAAAACTCTGGTACGGAGGGAATGTCAATGGAAAAGTTAAGGCTCAAGTAGTTATCTGAATCAGACTAAGACTAAGGCTTGTTACAGATAATTTTAGATGTATTGGATCAATTTTGGATTGAAAGAATCACAAAAATGTAAGACAGAGGTCAGGGGTAAAAGTTCAGAGTTGTCAGGGGATTCAATAAGCTTTAGAGTAGAGCACTTTACGATTAACTAGTCCAGTTCTGATTAAATTTGAGATATACAAGGATCTCTCAGAAGACAGAACAGCTCTGTAGACTTGCAGCAATAGCTACTTATACTGTCACTACAGCTATATATACTACAGCTACATTGTGTGTACCAGAAGGCTTATTGTTTTACTTCATGTGTATGCCATGAATATGATTGTTGGAAACTAAACAAGTTTTTAAGGGGGGAGAGTTTATCCAAAGTACTAGTCAACACAGTGTTTAAATTACTGACTAGAATTGACAGAGATGGCAGAGACAGAAGACTGACAGAGATGACCAGTCTTGTAAAAGGAGACAACTAATTACAACATTAGAGAAACAAGTAAAACAAGTAAAATCAACAATGGATTGGACCCACAAGCAAATGGTGGAAGAGAACTGCAGCAAGACAGGTGCAAACATGTTGACCCAATATACATATAAGCAAAACTCAGTTGGCAATTCATGGATAGCATTTGTATTCATCCTGATCATGCCATATTAACAAGACAACATCTGTACGAGAGCAAAGTGGCTCATATGTCTAGAGCTCGTCCTGATTAATCAGTTGAGAGCACATGACTTTCCCCCTGGGTGAGACATTAGTCTCTTGAAAGCTGGTCCTCACTTATACAGTTGGGTGGACTGGAGCCACTGGCATAATGTACCTTAATCCAGTGTCTGCAACAGAGACTTGAACTCAGAGACAGGGGTGTAGCTAAAATAAGTTGTACAACAAACATAGAAATCCCCTGAGTGATTTGGGCTGACACAGCCCTGAGATTGCTCAGCCAATTGTCTGTCGCTAGTTGGCAATGCTGAGCAGGGCTGGATAATGATGTAACCCAATCGTGAACTAGCTGTTAACTTAATCCCTCTAAGCACTCTAGCTTCCCTTTCACCCACCACAAACAAATTGTGAGTATTCTTATCATATGGCAAGAAGAGGCATCTCTGAAGAACAATAACAGACTTAAAAAGCTCAAGCCAGGCTCTGCAAGCACACTGACAGTCTCATTTTTCATTATCCATTATGTTCAGTTTCAAGTAAACAGCTTTCCAGTAAGTGGGGGTATTTGTAAAGGAGGTCTCTATTTCTTCTTTGGGCAAACTACTGTATAGGCAAACTGCCCATTACACAGCAAATGAATTAGAAAGGCAATTTGCCAATAAAAGAAAATCATGCTCAAAGTCTTTGTCGAACACACTTTTTTAATATTTCCGTTGACATAGATTTTGCTGCTGGATTTGTATTTTCCAATTCAGAATATTCAGAATTAATTCAGAATAAAAGATAAAACTTCTTTACAGAAGCCCTAATATAATAATCATAAATGATTCTATGTTTGACAACTAGTAATCCCTTACTTAACTTGCTCTAATTTATCATGTTTAACCAAAGTAGATAAATCAAAACTAGAGGTGAAAATGAAACCAAACCTTAACAAATACAATAGAATTGTTTGACTTACAACACAGACACTATTAGTAATGTACTTAGTAATTAGTAATTAGTAATCAATAAAGTATCTATCCATCTAATGAATAGTGTATCTATAGAAAAAGACTATCAACATAGATAAGTAAAATATTATTGATGCAATTAATCTGATTTGGTCTCCCTCTGTGTTAGGCTTTGTGGCTCCATGTTATGAAAATCAAGAGGCTTTTGCACAGTTATATCTGGGGTGTGAAGCCAGAAGACAGGACAGTGAAGTCTTTACTTGTCTTTACTTATTCAGATTGTTGTATAAATGGAAAAAAAATACCAAATTCATATCATATTTCACATTTAGGAGAAAAATATCAAACACTTTTAGTAACTTAATCATTACTTAAAAGGTTAATGGCAATCTACAGTACTTTTTATGTTACTGTATATAATATTCTGCCTCTGTTTTGTTACTCTTAGAATGTCATTTCAGAGACCAACACTCATAAAGGCCACATCCTTGGAAAAGTAAAATGAAAAAGAACAAAGTGATGTATTGTCCAATGTCAGTTCATAATATTGAAACTAGGCTTCAGAGGCTTCAGAGTTTGATGGACATTGATACATTCTCCTTAGGAACTCGAAATCAGAGCTGAAAAGTCTTGGCAGAAGCCATGCATTAAAGATCTTCCTTCTATGTGTTTGGTTTATTAATGGCTTTTCTAAAAGAAATACCCTTGTTTAATAAATATGAACCTTTTTATTTTATATACTTACTTATTGCATGTCTGTGCTAGAGATTACATTTATTTGTTAATAATTTCACTAATG